TGATTATTTTTTATATCTAGGTAAACTAATGATGAGAGTTGTCCAAGGCTGGCTGGAATTGTTCCTTTCATTCCATTTTCTGAGAGATAGAATTCCTGTAGGGAAGACAAATTCCCAATAGATTCAAGAATTGAACCAACAAAAGGGTTCTTCATGAGTGAAAGACGTGTTAGGTTTCTCAAGTTTCCCAGGGAATCAGGAAGAAAGCCACCCAGTTCATTATAACCCAAATGCAGTGACTCCAAGCTATAGTTTTTGCATTTAGACAAAGAATCAGTGAATTCAGCTAGGTCACCACTAATTTGATTGAAAGACAGATCAAGAACATGCAAATTGCAGAGGCTTCCCAGATTCTTTCTCGATAGCTTGCCTTGGATAAATGAATTCTCAGACAAGTGAAGGTGTTGAAGGAGCTTCAGGCTGGCAAAGCCATCAAGAATTCTGCCTCTGAGATTATTGGATCTGAAATCAAGATACACAAGTTGGCTAATGTTGAAAAGACAAGGAGGTATTGAGGAGTTGAATCCATTGTTGGAAAGATCAATGACAGACAAAGAGGAAAGGTTAACAAGGGGAAGAGAGAGAGGAAGAGTTGAAAGACCACAAGTAGGCAAGTGCAACTCAACAAGTGAGGGAAGCAAGTTAACAGTTTGCAGCCAGTAATTTGCTGTCTTTCCAAGGTCAACACCACCCAAATTCAGGTACTTCAAAGAAGATAGACCTGGTAGCCAGTGTAGTTCACTCTCAATTGACGAGCCAAAACTAACACTGAGATCAAGATAGTGCAGCTGGGTAAGGTTTCCTAAATGTGGAGGAATATTTCCTCCAAAGGATGCACCTGAGAGATTGAGATATATCAATGTCTTAAGTGATCCAATGAAGTTAGGAATTGTGATTCCTCCAAAGTTGTTCATGCTCAAGTCTAAGTACCTCAAATATTTCAAATGAAGCAAAGAAGGATGTATCTCACCGCCTAATGCATATGCTGTTCCATCAACATTAGGACTGCTTGAGTATGAGTTACGTTGTTTGGGCTTGGTGACATGTCCACTCTGGTCTCTACACCGCAGTCCAGCCCAGCTACATCAATTTTCACTCGTCCAAGAGGACAGCCGACCTGAGGGATCTGTGAGGCCTTGTTTGAGGTTGAGAAGAGCATTTCTTTCCCCTGCAATGCAACTGACATTATAAGTGTCACTGCACAGACCAAATTTAACGATTCCAAGGTGGAGGAACCCAGAGGAGAGAATCAGAACAAGCAAAAGAACCCAGAAAGAAGTAATGGTGCCTTCCATATGTGCTAATAGAAGGAAGAATCTCAATGAAGAATGCATTGAAGTATATTATGCTATATATATGGCAAATAAGCTGCACCTTCGAACCTCAAGTCAATATCTTGGTGCTCAACCATTGTTGGCGAAATCCACAGCTTTCTATAAAAAAAAATGCAACGACCCATCATTTTCTAGGCACTATTTATCTAGTTTCTTTCTTGTGCATAAAAAAGGAAGCGACTTTTATGACAATTAGAAAGCACTAAGAAGTTTTCTAGCGCTCAAAACAGGGCAAGATGTAGACTTCTCTATCCCACTTGATTAATTAAATTATGTATCTTCCTGATGGATCTGTCAGGCTTTCTTTAAACTTCAAAAGTGCCTCCCTCTCATTTTTTATGCAATTCACTTGAAGATCACCATGGCACGAGACAAGTTGGATGGTTTTTAGGCAGAAAAATACAAAAGTAAAAGGGACAGAAGCTGAGAATGGAGGTTATGCTTCATGTCTGTAATTGTATTTTAGCTTTTTGGTTAAATGCAAAAATGATCAGGTTAGGCTATAATATATAAGAATGATGAATCCTCCGTTATTTTAATTTGACTTGATTGGTGGCTTGAAATCTCACATGCAATAGTTTATTGGCTAATGAAAGAATTTTATGTAATAATTTCTTATAGATTATCAGTCAAAGATAGACAACTTTTGTAGTGGCTGACTCTAAGAAGGTTTTTATTCACCATTTGATATGAAGATGGACTGACTTTGACTCCTTTTGAGCAAAATGCCTGACTCTGCCAACAAGGGGAGAAGAACTTTGACTGAATTATGATTCCAAGGTAGATTTTCCCATTCCTAGTGCGCTATATGAAGGAGAAGGAGAGGCTAAAGCAAAATATCCAAAGGAAACTATCCAGGTCAATCAAACCAAGAAGGAAATCAAACTCAAAGCAATATTAGGAGCAATGATCAAGTAACATTACTCTTCTTAATCCTAGGCATAACAAATGGATTTGATCATGTAATTACAATTATATATCTCTGCTCTTGTACAGTACACTCATCAAATACAACTCTGTATTCTTTTGAAATCCTTTATATTTCAATCTTCTTCACCCCAAGGGCTCCGTTCCTGTCAATTGGTAAGTAATGGTCACTATTCTAAGAAGACAAGAAACCCAAGCTAAGGAATTTTGAGAAAAGTTGATGATGAAAGTAAAATTAATTAGCACTAATATTTTAAGGCTTAAATTGATAATGCTGGTATGTAGTTGCAACTATAAGTTTTTTGGTCCTTTAACATCTTAAAAATATATTTTATATTTATTTTAATTAACATTTCATATATTTTTCAAATGGTAAAAAAGCATAAAAAACCAAAAGATAAAACACTAAAAAGTGTTGTCAAATGAGGCCCAAGCCTGCGAAGGACTTTGAT